GCATAGCGCGTTGATAGTGCCGCGAGTAGGGGCAAATCCTTCGCTGCGAAATGCGTGTCGGTGCGCACCCCCAGGAAGCCCGTCGCGCGGCAAGAAGGCAACTTCACGCGCGCGTACTATAGGGATTTCGCGTCAAGTTAAATAGAGTGTCCCACTGCACGTCCTACATCGCACACCACGCGCTGCAACTCGTCCGCCGACTCTGCCTTCTTGCCGCGCGACGGGCCTCCTGGGGGTACCCACCCTTAGGGAGTCCGCCTCTCTTCTCACTGGGTGGGTTTCCCCTTCTTCGGCCTCCCACCTTATCGTGGAATGCTCCATTAATGATGTGCTCTGATTTTTTAAAATGAAGGGAAGAATGACGAGGCACCCAGACTTTTAGTAAGGATTCTGATGGGAGATTCCTAGACCAGAAATTATCAGTAACTTATTTTACCGACTCCACAATTTTTTGTTGATTATGTTTTATCATTTTAGCTTCGCACATTAACAAGCGCGTCGCAGGTCAGTTAGGTTTGAAAATGTTTAACGGCGCAACTAAAATTTTCAACATTAGCTCCGCCTGTCCCACCGCTCTTTCTGCTCACGGACGTTTTGCTCGGCCCCCTTCGCTGTCTTTGCGCTTTTTCAGGCTCTAGGTTGTTTTTGTATCATATTGCAAATTTTGAGTTTTGTCCATTTCCATCCCGTACCCCCCTCCTCCCCTCGCCCTCCCCCACACACACTTCACCATCCCTCAAAATATGTTCTCGTCCCACCCTCATCATTGCTAAGGAGAAGCGTCACATTGCTGGACGCGCACTATCGAATTTCGTGACGTTTGCATTTTGACGTTCCTTACCAGCCCTTGCCAGCGGTATCATTTTCTAACCCTCATCAAATACTTGGGGCGGAAGTGGTGTAGTGGCGCTTACCACGCGAGCGGTCCGGGGATCAAATCCTGGGTCGTGAGTCGCCCGGGCCAACCAAGCCTTCCATCCCTCCGGGGTCGGTTAATTGGTACCAGACTTGTCTGGGAGGATAAAAACACTGACTTGTACATCGGCTGGCCCCCGCAAGTCATTGTATAGGCCACATCGCATTCAAACGCCACTACGAATGTACAAATGGAAGTAGAATGCGTGCCGCATCCCAAAAAGGGATTGATCAACGCATCCTAGAAGACTGATCAACGGCTTATATCCTTTATCAAATATGTTCTCCTCGCGCTCTCTGCATCCTATAGGGACAACTCTCATTGCTGCTATCAATTTCGTGATAGTTGCGATTTTGCTGCAGGAGGTGTACTTTGCACTGTAGTCCTACTAGGAGAGAGGTGTTTACGTACATCAATTATAGAGGTTCCGGATCTTTATTTTTGTTCATATCATATATTGCTCTTTTGTAATTGTTCAAACGTTGTCATCTGATTGATCTGCAGTTCAAGAGCACTGTCCCTCTTAACTATGAGCTTCATCTCAACTCCGCCTATACATCGTATAAATAGGTGCCGACGGCCTCGAGTTTCAGTTACCCTTTTTTCATTACCTCTTTGTGCATTGCCTTCAGACCACTTCCCACTCACGTGCCTCCCACCCTGCTTGAGATTTGTACTGCAATAGTTTGAGTATCAAAAGGTAGTGCGTACGAGAATTCCGCCCCAACGTGAAAAACAAAGCAAAATAACGGTCCCATTGTACGGGTTTTTGGATTATTTCCCTTGTTTTTTTCTTCGTAACTGCATCTCCGAACAGCTTCACTTTCATACCCAGCGGGTGACTAATTATTGCAAGACTATTGCCTATTGCCTCCAGCCTACTGCCAAACGGGGCTGTTTTTAACCAGGCCGGTGCCTGTATACACTCATCAAGTGCTGCGCAACGATTGTAACTATTATATTTCATTAATATCATCTGCATCTATTTTGTCAGCGTCACACACATCTTTTATATTTGCAATGTTTTTTGTATATCTTTAACGAGTGTAATTCTTACCTCATGGCAAAGGTGGTAAGGTAGTCGAAAGTGTGCTGGTAACCTTCAGGGTTTTCAAAATGCTTACCAAAGCAAAGACAATTTTCTTCTTTCCGTTATTATCGTGAACGAAGGGTCTCAAGCCACTAATTTATGGGTGAGATAGAATCACGATTTTTTTTCGGGAAGGATTCCTTCAAGTGAAATGGGGGAGGGGGACTCTAGATGCAGATGACCTCACACTCTCCATGTCACACCTGCCATTAACGTGTCCTGTCAATCGCCTGTGGGACGACTCTGTTTAATTGTCTACGTTGACTGCTGACCTCGAGCTAATTACATCACATCACTGCTATAGAAACGTAGAAGTTTCAGATATAGCGGAAATTAGCGGTAACCTAACAAAATCGCAAATCACACTACATAATGTAAATAATACTTATAGAGACTTAGCAAACTTTAGAAATAAATGTATTCAGCGAAACCTTCAAGAAACCACAGCTTACAGCGATGCTGAACCAGGGCTGAAAATTTGAAAAAAAAAACCGCATTTCGGGAAATTTATTACGTGCTTCACTTAATTTTGGTCATTTTTCACTTCCAAGATAACCTTTATTGAGAACTGGTACAACTGGTTACAAGTTTTATCATCTTTGAAAGAATTGTGATCCCCAAAATGAGAACACGATTTCGGCTTCAGAATGATCAGTTACCGACTCATTTTTGCACCTCTCAAACTTCCCGAAAATGTCTGGCAGCTAGGTTGTGCTGCAACATCTCATAAAAGCGATATTCAAAAGTGTACTATTCTGAAAAGTGGAGGGATTTCTACTGAAGTGGCAAAAGTGTTTTCTTGAGTTTTCCGAAATTCACCCCAGCGCTGAACCAACCGCCAGAGGGGGTGTCCCTGTGGCATCCATTTTCTCTCTTCTATATCTTTCCCTTCCTGTGAACGTTTCAAGCTAGTGTTTTCAGTAACTCTTAGCTCAAATGTAAGCTCAACAAGCGCTGTTATATCTACAAATTGCTAACAAAAAGTTTTTTGGTGCTTGGTTTGCCTTTTTGCTGCTGACAAATCACTATTTCTGAATTGTTGTTGTTATTTCCACACATGGATACAATAGAGCTCAAAGCATAGCACGGAATAGCATATCTTCAGCAGCAGTTTGACAAGCCTTATTAGTTGATTTCTTCAAATGAAACGGAGGAAATTAAGGTCGAGAAGAGCAGTTTTGAGCCGTCCACTCGCTTTGTTTCTAATCTGTAAACCAATCACGAAATTGGCAGGAAACACTCATATATTTATTTATTTATTTGTTGCGCCTAAACAGCGCACTGTATATTGTAAAACAATACCAAGTTATCAAACTTGATAGCTTTCAGAAGTGTTTTCGATTACTGATCCCATTTAATATCGATTAATTCCGCTGATCAAATTAGGTGAACCACCTAATAGCTGAGGTAAGCAAACCAGCCCTTTTGGCGTTTCGGCTGGGACCGTATGCTGAATGTTGGGGAGGGGATGGGGTCCCCAACGGTCGACGGTTTACTTCAACTCGGTTGGTACGATAGGAGAGTACTGACCCAAGTGGTGCAGCTGGTCCAGCAGCTCCGCCAGAAGGGCTGGTTTGCTCACCCCAGGACTAAGCCTTGGAGAGGGGACGGACCCGTCCTCTCTTTAAGGCTTAGTTCTGAGGTAAGCACCAAATTGTGGCGGTTCTAAGGACCGAGTTGAAGTGGTCCGTCCACCGTCGGGGACTCCATCCCCTCCCCAACATTCAGCATACGGTCCCAGCCGAAGCGCCAAAAGGGCTGGTTTGCTTACGTCCTATGTTGCTACTCAAGTTTCGAACTGTGGACTATATAATTTTATTCTCTCCCATCAAAACACATATACCTCCCCTTCAAAAAGCGAGAAAGTGTCGGGTGCAGACCATGCACCACAAGTGACGACGGCCTTCACAAAATGTTAATGTTTTCTGCCAATGAAATGATTAGCCTGTTGCAGTTGTATTCTATCGATTGTCACTAATTACAACTATCATTTACCAGAAATCAGCTATCACTATGAACAACTTCTAACCAGATTTACTTGGAGGCCGTCGTCAGTTGTGGTGTTTGGTCTGCACCCGACACTTTCTCGCTTTTTGAAGGGGAGGTTACATCCAACTGCCAGCAGAGGCGACCAGCTCAATATAGATTATCTTCTATATGAGTTAATGTTAAACTTTCTTTACGCTTAAACTTTTCCCATGGAGGCCTTGATCACGAATATGGGATCCATTTTCGGCGTTGGCGCCAAAGTGGCGCCATTTGGCGTACGTCATTAAATTTTCTGTAAACTTGTGTATATATGGGTTATCATGCACCCTCCGGAGGGTTGATCATGCAGATCAAATCAAGCTGCTAACAACTGAGATATGTGATATGATTTCTGATGCTATTACCATATCAGACATCTTATCTAATTCCCCTTTTCACGGCTCAATTAGCTCGATGTTTTCTAAAGACACACATGCCATCCGCATATTCCAAATCAGGAACGTTGATTGAAAATGATCTTAATTCCCAGTGATATTTACATAGTTCTTACAACCAGATTGGTCCCCCGGCAAGCGCCGGAACCTCCCTACCTTGCGTAAGCTTTCCCTTCTCCCTCCTCTCCTTACTCACCCCTCGTTCTCCTCTGCTCGCCGGCTACCACAGCATCACCTTGTGGAATGACCGAAAGTGTGCTAAGTGCGTGTTTATATAGCCGTTCTGGGTTATCACAATCATGCTTGTGCAAAACATTGATAGCGCAAATCCTGCGAGCTACCCAGATTTGTTGGCGGCTTGTTTATTCCGTTAGCTGCCTTATCACTCACTCACTTCATTTTGCGGACGGACACACATACATACATACATACACACACATACAGACATACAAACCGACACACAAAGTTAGCGCTTTATAAAATAGAAAGGAATAATAATAATGGACTATTTCAATAAAATAAATCAATAATGAACTATTTTCAGCGTCATCGGCGCGCTCTGAAGGACGATATGACCTGGTTGACAAACGTACGCCGTCACACAAACGTTGGTGTTCTGTCCAGGTTCGCGCCGTCACCTTCGGTGTCGCTCATCTATCGACGGACCCTTGAGCGTCATTTAGGAGTAACCAATTTTAGGTAAATTGCCTTCATTTTTCAGAAGGTTACCTTTTTTGATTCAGTTCAACGTAATTATCTTAATCCCCAAAACTTCTACAATAGACATCCGTTTTCATTCTTGCAAGAAGCCGCACTCTTTGCTGTTCGCCCTTCTTTTTCTTTTCTTCTTATTTTTTTTCTTTTCTTTTTGCTCGCCAGATTTTCTAGCAAGCTTTTTTACGCATGCGAAAAAAAGAAACTTTAGGAAAACTCGGAACTATTGTCTAATAACAATCCAAAACTCAAACTTTTTATTTTTGTCGGGAAGATCGTCAATGAAGTAACTGGGTGTCCTGATAACTAACATGCCATTCATTTTGGGCAATGGCGCCGTTTGGCGCCAATTTGACGCCACGGCCGTGAATGCGGTGTAAACTCGTGAGAGTGGATTTGGTGGATAGGAACATGGCGTAGTCTGCGACCAACTTGCTGAGTGAAATTGCCGCTCAAGAGTGGTAGATGGGCGTGTCATCAGCGAGAGGGCACAAATGATCAGTAAAAGGTCAGAACCCTCTACTGCCAGAAACGGTCACCAATCCATCTCTAAAGGCGATGTTATGAAGAACTTGAAGTTTTGAGCTTTCGGGGTTATAAGTTTAATAGTGCCGAAAATTTTTGCCAGTAGGACCTTTCCTTGGGCGGAATTTTCTATTCTATGTTCGGAATGGATATTAGAGTACACTTGAAGAAAGTTGAGGGCTTGTTGACAAGTTTTACAGAAGCTCCTTAGAGAGTACACATATCCGTATATCGATTCTGGCCGCGTTAATCATCGTTGTTTGCAAAACAACTCAGGCGAGCGCAATCAAATTCCGACCAACTGGCTCAAGCAGCTCTTGCTTCCTCCTTCTTCTCGAGAGCCATGTTCTTAATCCGTCTACGGGACGAAGAATCCATGTTGTTGGGAGCGGAAATGAAACGAGTACAATTTTAGGCGTGGCACTTTGGCCGATCCAACTTGTACATTACGAGAACGAGCCCAGGCGGATCTGCATTCCAACTGCTTCCTTCTCGTCCCTCTTATGCCACTCTGTCAATCCGTCTCGAGAAGGAATAGCCACTTGACCATTGATGATACAAGGTGAATTCGTGGTTTTTTTGTTAATTGGCGATTAGCCAAACAGTGCTGTGTCGTGCTCTTGAATACTTCAAATTTCATCCAATTTCTTCAGATTAGTTGTATCGAGACATTCCAGCAGACGGCCGAGCTGCGGATCGGCGATGTTGACCAAAGATCGGTGATGTTTGCCACACGATCAGCATGTAGCCTTAATCTTCAAATTGACCTCTCATTATCGTTTCATCGCTCAGAATTTCATATCATGTCCATAATCAGTGAATGAATCATTTTTTTACCCAGCCATTTCGTTGTAGGGAAAGATGGTGCTTCACAGATGCTGACACTTGAAGTGAGTGCGTGAAGATGTCGCATCCATTTATAGCGAAAGCTATGAGAGGAGCAATCCGCTGAGACAACACGGACTCATAGGCCCTCATCAAATCACGGCGCAAATTAGGTAGGGGTTTGCTGGCATGCCGTATTCTAAACGATTGCTTCTTACTATGCTTCTGAAAGCAGTTTGATCGCTACAAAATGTAAAATTATGATTACTATAGAAAGTTCACAAACTTCTAAAAATTAGTTCCTGGTTGTTTAAAGCTATTTCTGCAAATCATTTTCTGTCTCCACAAGTAGTTTCTGGTCGGGTGCCGGAACACCGGAACATAGCCTATAGCACGTTGACGACAGGCGTTTTGGCCTTTTTGGCAGCGTGGTCTGGTGCGATTTTGCGGGCGAGGTCAACTTCTCCATAGCTTTTAGTGATAACTATGCAGGGAGTAAATAGCACAGAGGAACTTAGCAATGTTCATTACATGCAAATTATCCCGGGGTGCACTCTACAGAATTCGAATCACAAGGATGTTGGCAGTGAACAAAAAAAGCAATTTCAGCTTGCTTTACGCTGTAGAGAAATTGTTTAAACTATTCTCGAGCGCATCGGTCGTTTCACAGCATATTGTCTTTTGCTTTCCCCAACATGGGTATGATTATCCTATTAATTTTTATTTGCATTCATATGTTAGTGAAAAGAAAACGGACATAAATTGAAGTGACATTTTCCTAAGGCTCGGGAGAATCCGTTAAATTGAAGCGCATTGTACTATCCTGTAATATGGCCTACCAGTTTAGCTCCACACGCGCGCATTACACGGTGGGCTTCGGTGAAACTGGACAGGCTGTGGAGCGTTAGGTCCCACTATCTCAAACTGCGCTGATGACTGCTGGCTCTATAGGCTGCCCATTTCTGCTGAAGCTCACCGTTTGATACGCGAAGTGGAGTCCGGATCGAAGTGGTATCTGCAAACAACCACCATGCATCGAATGCCAGCGTAATTATCGGTCGAATGTTATTTGATGCAAAAGATGTCGAAGAAATTCTCAGTACTCATTTCATATCGATTCTTCCAACGTCCACCATCTCAGGTAGACTTGCAGGAGAAACCTCCGAGTTACGGGCCGCAGCAGTGTCGGCAGCATATGCTGCCGACACGCCCACTCGTCCGTGATTGGCTACCACCACACGGTTACTGTGTGCAGACGCGAGCCAGCCAGTCACAGACTAGTGGGCGTGCCATATGCTGCCGACACTGCTCGTAACTCGGAGGTTTCTCCTGCAAGTATACCTGAGATACAATCTCAGAGACTCCAGGGAGTGCAGCGGTCGGTTTTTGATGATGACGATGACAACGCAAATGAAATGCGATTCAGATAAAATGCTTTATTTTTTATCGAGAATCTGGTTTTAAGTGACCTCTATTTCGTGCGCATATCGCGATTATCGGCCTCTATCAGCTGTTATCAACCCCTATCAAACCGTTTCATCTTTATATCACTTGCAAGAGCCAACGCCTCACTGCTGCACTTGCACACATGCGCTTTGAATTTCCGTGAAATTTGCGTTTCAGCGCCTCTTATCAGTCTTATCAGCGTTATCACTTTCGGTCCCCACCAAATATGTTCCCGTCCCACCCTCTACATCACATGTGAGAACCAGCGTTTCACCATTGCTGCGGCGGGTGCTATGAATTTCGTGACGGGAACTTCTTTCTTTTCTTTTTCACAGGGACACACACACAGACAGACGTGAAAGGTGCGGCATATATGGCTGCCACAATGTCCCACATGGCCCACAAATGACATAGCTGCCACTATGTCATCGATGTATTAACTGGTAGTAAACATCTCGCGCATAACTTGTGCGAAATCGCGGTTAGGACTCTTCTGACGGCCGGGAACAAAGGGTATGTCACGAAGAACGAATGCCTTTCCACTCTTTCAGCTGTGTTTATTTTCCACCCGTATTACAGAGAAATCGCATGCCGTTTGCACATCGGCTGGCTTCTCCTCAATAGCTGATATCACCTCATCGAAAACCTGCAAAGTTTGGCAGAGTTTGTAGAAGATTACAAAACTTTCCTGATACAGTTAAATGAACTTAGTGATAAGGGCGTAAACAGTTTCTCCGGCAGGAACCGTGCGTCCGACCCTCGGGGAAAACTACGGGTCACAAACCTTAAATACACTTCATTTTTATGGTGACCGTTCCCCCTCCGCCTTCTGCCTCTATGTGCAGTCCTAAGTCGAATGCCGCCCCGCGCCAGTAATACCTGCAACAATGATGGCTCCGAATCTGTGTTCATAGACAAGAAGGGGTAGGAGCTCAAGTTTTTATTTGTCTAGCGATCCCATTACCTCAAATACTTAAGTGATTTCAGGTAAGGTCCCAGGGCTACGCATTCGGTAAGTTAAAGACTGCACTAACTTGGCGGTGACAATACACATTATACGGTATCAGCAGGGTCAACCGTTACGTTGGACCGATATTGGAGCGACGTTGGACCGATGTTGACCGCTCTCCGCGCCGGCATTCACTCTCGCCACCCGCGAGCCGTCTGTGTCTCCGTGCGTACGTTCACTCTCGGCATTACTCTCGTCGTCGCGTTGGACTTTGTCCAACGGACGGTTGACCCTGATCTAAACCCTACCCTTGCCCGCGTTTATGGTGAATTCAGAGCGGAATCCGTCATGTCGAGGCAAACGATAATGTACCTTCAAGTAGAGGGCGGCAGTGCCCTCGAAACCCGCATCGCTACAGCTCATGTCCACCGTGGCAGGATCGACATTTTTCAGCTTCGGATAAAGTTTTTGATGGCTCG